ATTTAAACACTACCTCTTCCTTTTTGTAATCGCTCTTCCCTTACCACACTCCTGGGTCACAGCCAGCTAAAGGTTCTTGGTTGTGAATGACAACAGAGGGCAGAAGACACTCTAACCAGGTGTCTGGGTCAATAAAAAAAAGAAAGCGGAGGTATAGCTGGGCAAAGCTGTCCTGGGCGGCTCTTCTGGCTTTAAAAAAAGACGGATGTGGGCACAGCTAGGCAGAACTTGGCTGTATTTCTTGGCATGGGAGATAGGTTGTAAGAATTGATTAGTAATGATGTGAGTTGTTCAAGGGCAGAGAGAAACAAATTAAATCTAAGCAGACAGCTCTCACGTGATTGTTAAAAAGGCTTTTTCTTCTCTTTTTCTTTTGACTCTTTCACGTGATACCTACAACGCTGACATCAATACTGCAAAAAAAGACATGATTTTTAAACTATTCTTAAGCCTGTCTTGAGAAGTCTTTTCATTTAGTTTTATACTCCAAAACACTTTGTGTCATTACTCGAGGGCTAAAATATGTTTTAGTGCATTTCAAATCTATGTATGTTTTATATTTTATGTATACTGCTTACATTCTTGAGTTAATGTGTAACTGTACAGCAACAGGACATAAAAGTGGACGGATATTATTTTTTTACTGACAGACAGATATGTGGATACTGAACATATCACAGGCAATGCGTATGAAATACTGCAATATAATATCCACTTTTGGTGACAGAAAATATTATTCAACTTATTTATGATTATGCTGAGTCTCTCATATCACTTGATTATGATAAGAGAAAGTTCTTGGGCTGGTTTAATACCTAAAAAGTCCACACAGGCATGAGGGGCAGCACACAAATGCTCTAGTCTTTCCTTACATGCTGAAGAAGAAGAAGGATGCCCACAAGCACAGGAAAAAGTACACATGGCACAGCAGAAACTGCACGAGGAAGATGGTGACTAGTGCTGATGCCCCGACTCACTGGCAAGAAAAGGCAGTAAGAGTCAGCTATGTAAGTATTTTGCATTGTTACCCTGAAATAGACATTAGAAAAGATGTTCATACAGGATAATTTGATATAAATGCTTAAACTAATGTAATGAAATAAGGTTGGTTTAACGTTAGCGGGCTACTCAGCAACAATCCCAGCATTTCTGTCTGTGTCCTGTTAACAGAATGTAACGTTAAGCTGTCGAATAAGCAGTCTGCCACCACAATGTCGGTGATGTAAGATGAATAATCAAATTAGCATTCATCTAAAATCAGCAAAATTAGTAAATTGGTGTGAAACGGAATATTCAGAATTGTGTACTTCTTCTGGTATGTGTACCAACGACTAAATTTCTGGTATGATGACGTCCCTGCGAGTTACTACTGTTTATAATACCAGTGGAGTGTTCAGAAATTCATCTATGCAGATTAGGGATTTTTCTGGTGACTAATTTATTAGTCGTTTAAACAATAGAAAAAAATGTGACTAGTTGACTAGTCTAAAAGACAGAAAACCCTCAGACTGAGCAAACTTTAAATGGAAGTAGTTGCACACTAAAAGAACCTGTGTTGTTTGTATTTAGGATATATAGATATATATATATATACCATTAAAGATGTTCCTCGTGAATCAGATCATGTTAAAAATGTTACTGAAACGTGCTAACTCACTATAGCAGTGCTAGCAGCAGTAGCTGTGGTTTATCTCATGTTAGCAGCCACGCGTCGGTACGGAATCAGGTGACATGCCCCTTTAGTTGCTTGATTATATCCCGGTTTATCCTGATAAACCATACAGCTGATCCTATTTTACATCGAACACTGCAAAGAGCCCAAACAACAGCACTGTTAGTACAGATGTCGTCTGTTTCCTTTGCTCTAACTTCACTTCAGACAAAGTGAGTGAGAGATGCTTGTTTTATGCAGGTGTAGCGCAAAGGCAGTCCACCTATACCTGCAGAGAGTGTTTTCTGTCAATGTGGGCAGTGTCACAAGTATGTGGTGCAACCAGTTTGTGGTCCGCTCTTGGTCTGTTCGCCAGCCGCGAAGAAGAGCGACGTTATAACATGCAAAGATCTGAAACCGAGTGTTCAAAACACTTAAAAGTGTCCACTGCAGCCACTTTTCATGCTGTATTTTTGATTTTTTTCATCACTCCCTTCACTTTTCTGCTCCACTTTTTAACCATTCAGCATTCCACCAACACATAGGTTATCCATGTCCAGCAACATGCAACTGGTATTTTGAAGGACTACACAGAAGTACGTTTGCAGAAACCCATCTCCATGTCCACACAGAGACACGTATGCAAACAGACACATTTGTGGGACCATAAATTGCACTAGGCGGACCTGCCATGGTCTAGTTGACTATCACATCCTGAATGTGGATAACATGGGATTTTGTTCCCCATTTCTTACTATGGACAAATCAAGATTATATCTAAAAAAAAATTCAAAATCCATGCACACAAGTAGCATGTTTAAATAAAAGAAAGCAGTGCGCTCAACAAACCAATGATCAGCACTGGCTGATCTGTTATGTGTAACCAGCTACACTGTGACAGTAATCTTTATTAGAAATTGCCAAAAGGCTCTGAAATGACAGTCTGGAGCAAGCAGCAACAGCAGTGAGTTGCCACTGGCTGGTGTCAAGCTAAGTGGGCATGTCAGGCCTATGCTGTCCTGGCACCTTGCCTGCTCTCTCAGTTGCTTGCTCAGTCCCTAGTGTCCCCAACCCTAAACGGATCCAGTTGCTGTTGCTCAGCTCCAGTGGGGGGGCCGATCTGGCTGACTAACAAACCCTTTTTTCTAATGAGGAAAACTCCTCCCCGAATCTCATCAGTGCCTGTGCAAACCCCCATGTGCATATTTCCTCATATTTGCTTGCCTATTTTCTTCCGCCCCGAGGCACATCTTTCACACTTGTCCATTCCACCTCTTCCCCGAGCACCGGTCTCCATCTTTCTGCGTCGTCTCATTTCGGTTCTTGTGCACAGTTTTCACACCGTCTATATCTCACTTCTCTCCCTTACTGACAGCCATTCACCAACTGTTTGCCGTCTCCTTTCTTTTTTCTCTATTCATCATCAGCTCTATTAAAAGCATTTACAATTCGAGCTCTTTGAGCAACTGTTGTGCAACCAAAATATTTTGTGGTGGCTATTTAAATTTGAATGCTGTTGTAGTGTTAGCGACTTGTCCACACCTTCTGTATCTATGTATTACAAGCCTGCTAAATGCTATTCTAATAGCTGAAGTAGTGATAAATAAAGAGGTTATCTTTGAAACGTCAGTAATCCCTCCTTTTCCCCTTTGCATGACTAAACTAAAAGAGGCAAGAGGACAGAGGGATGAAAACATGACTCAGGCTTTTCTCAGGGCAGACCTAGTGTTGAAGCTTGTTTAGAGGACACCAGGCAGAGCAGGATGGTTGACCCCATGAGTGCTTGTGAGGATCAAATCTTTTACGATCAGCTCTATCCATTCCCTTGTGTCTCCTTGTGTCACTTTGTCCACAGACAACTTTTCAGTCACGAGAGAAGAGCACAGGTCACACACTTACCAGGCCATCACAATTGCTGATCGCCACAGTGGCTCCTGGCGTGTCTGTGATGTCACCCACATACAAGCATTCATCGTGCAATGGCTCAGAGTACCGGATGCTGTCGTTGTCATCATGCCACTCCATCTTGGCTCCGGGTGCAACCAGCCTGGCATTGTGGCGCAGACGTAAGTGGAACTCCCGGCCGAAGATGGTGACGTTGTAGTAAAGCCTCTCCCGAGGGGGCACGGCTCCTCTTGGTCCTTCCCACTCATCATTGCCTTCTCCTACCTCCCTCCTCCGGCGCCTACGGGACTGCCCTCCTGCCATGCTGCCAGCCGAGACGGCGTGTGACAAGAAGCGGCCCTCTGCGTCCACACTGATCGGCCTAACCAGTCCATACTCCCCCAGGATGTGCTGCAGGGAGTCTAGGAAAAGGACAGGTAAGTTGGGTGGGAGGGAGGAAGGGAATGAGACAAGAGAAGGTGAAAGATGGTAAAATGCACAAATGTGGGAGGCAGTCAAGAGGGAGAAGTAGAAAATTTTAAAAAAAAAACAGCACAAAGAGGAGGGTACGTCATGGGTGAATAATGGGGGATAAATAGTGGGGAAAATCAGGAGTCATGGGAATGGAAAAAAAGAGGTGGGGGGAGGAAAAAAGGGATTAGGAAAATGTCAAGTTTGGCAAGGAATTATTTATTCCTTATTCCAAGCTGCGGTAAGGGTAGCACAGTGATAAATAAAAAGTGAAATCTGTAACCTTTCACACACACACACACACACAGCCCCACCCATGAACCTAGAGGCGACCCCCGTGCTCGGCAGTTTGCGTTTGGAAACGGCAGCCTCAGCAGTGCACGCTGCGCTCCTGACACCTTCTGTTGCCCTTCCACCATCAACGGGAAAGTCAGTACAAGATCAAGGTGCTAATTGCTGCTTTATCACGCTGTTTTATCACCCACAACCTGCTCAAACCGAGAATAAACGGAAAACCTCTATTAAAAACAACAACAACAAAACTGATCCAGTGGCTCAGATCCCCCCTCCCCAGCCGCTTCTTATCAATATGAACTGAAATTCATCTGTAACCACTGTTCTCGTGATCATCAATATCTATGATTAAGTGGTTATATTTAAACTGTCCGTACAGATAAGTATAAGACACACGTTTTTAACTGATATCAAATGACGATTTCTAAGATTAGAAAGCTCTTTCTCTTTTAGTGACATGTGACACTGACATTACAGGTGCAACCTCGCAGCGCTCATACACTAACACATAGCCTGCACGCACTGAGCCAAGGCCACTTTATGGTGTCAATGCCATTACACAGTCAAACAGTATGTTGCTGTCACCTTGTATATGGTCCCCGGATGCAGTTCCACTTCTTTCTTTCTTTATTTTAATATTTAAGTATCCACCTATAACATCTAATTCATAAAGTTTGCAAACCGATAAAAGCCAAACACACAGTGTAAACATTTCTTCATCCTCCATGTTGGAGGAATGATTTGATAATAGTGTGATCAATAGGCTGACATCCGACTCCAGCGTCCTGTGACAGATCGATAGATGCGACAGCGGCCGAATCGGATAATGTTAGGCTACTTCCCTGCAAAATCCGACAGTAAACCGGTGCATCAGATGCCCTCTTACACCCCAGATAAAATTATACCCTGGACAGGGGGGGGGGGCAAATCACAACACTGCTTGCACCGCTGAGGGACCTTCGGAAAGTCCCTTTAAGCACCACAGCAGGACACGGGCTACAGAAGTTGCAAATGCGCACCACAATATCATTTGCAACAAAACTGCAAAAGCGTGGCAAAAATGAAACACAAGCAAGAAGCAGGACAGTGCCTCCCCGCTACGATGAGCTTCCACACTTCCAGTGAGCGCGCGAGAGCCCCCGCGCAGCCCAGCTGATAAGATATGATCAGATAAGGAGAACAACGTAAACACTGACCACGCTCAAGTGGACTCCACTCACCAACGCTACTGGCGATGTAAAGGCCGCTGGTGTGCAGCAGAAAGGCCGGTAGAATAATTAGGACAGTATATCCTGTTGAGAAACCCATGGCAGCTCCGAACTGCGCAGGTGAGAGAGTGGGACTCCGGGCTCCAGTGTGGTGAAGTTCCCCGCCTGGCGCGACCAGCCACGCCACGACAGCAACAGCACAGCAGCCCGCAACTAGACTGCCAAGTGCACCGGGAGAGACGGAGCTCTCCTCCCCTCTCTCTCTCTCTCTTTCTCTCTCTCTCCTCCTCCTCTCCGTCGAGGTCTCTCACTCTCGCTCGCTCACTCTTCTTCGCTCCCTCTCTCACTCAACTCTTCCCTTCTCTTTCCGCTCTGTCTCTCCTTCTTTCTCCCAACTTCTCTCTTGAATTCTGCGTGCTCCCACTTTTTTTCTATTTCTCTTACCTCTGACAACTCTCTGAAACTACACACACGCACACACAGAGACCGGCCGCCGGGATCCCACCCACCCCGAGTGTCTCCTCTGTGTGATAAGTGAGGATATGTGAGAGCGGTGGCTGTGCTGCGGCTGCACTGATGGACCGACAGACAGCTTTTTTTTTTCAAAGAAAAGAAAAGAAAGAAAGAAATGCGCTTCATGGCACATCAAGCGCATGTCACAAACCCGGAGCATTGATTCTTATTTTTTATTTTTTACACTTAGACACCCTTTCAGGGACCATAACTGCTGTTAAACCCTGCACTCCACCGCTCTCCGACGAGCTGCGAACCTCTTTGTAAACTTTGAATATTCCGTTAAGCTTTCTTGTTTTCAGTACGCAGCAGCGCCCCGCGTGGTGTGCTGGTAGAAATGCACTGAGTTTTGCAGGGCCCAAGGGTCCAATTTACAGCCAGCGAAAAAAAAAGAAGAAGAAGAAAAAAGAAAAGAGAGAAAAGAGAAGCCTTATAGCCATAACCTGCATTGCCCTCATTTAGCACATCATTTACCCTCTTTGACCACTAATCTTCAACTGTTGTAAACAGAAATAAGATGCATGACGTGAACTACAGAAATGAGGCAAACCATTTTTATTTCAAATTCCTTTTTTTCCCTTTTAAGAATAACATTAAGGAGAGGTAAATAAATAAATCTTTAAAATAACATCAAAATCAATTAAGTTAATCTGCTGAGTCGCAAAATGAGCTGAGGTTCAGATTTTTTTTTTTTTTTAAGGCAGCAGATTTATTTATAGTCTTTAGTTTCTATTCATTTTTATTCTTGTGCCAAGATTTTCAAAGCAACAAAAAGCGATCAAAGAGTTCCAAAGATGCAAAACACTGTTTACTTAGTTCCAAATACTGCAAAACACATCAGATTGAAGTGCAAAACAATCAGCGTAATTATAATTGACCGTTCCTCCATGATATCATTAGTTTTAAAATATGATCATCTGACTAATATATGTCCTCCTCCATGCGGTCAAACAGCTTCTAACCTCAAGGGCATGGATTTTGGGGTGTGCTGTGGTGTCCTGCACTGGGATGTTGGCAGCAGATCCTTTGGGTCTTGTGGGACGGCTTCCCGCAGATGCTCGATCAAATTGGGATCTGGGGAGTTTGGAGTCTGGATCAATGCCTCGGGCTCTTTGTCGTTTTCCTCAAGCTGTGCATGCCTGGGCATTTTTTTTTCCATATTCCAGCTTCACGCTGCACTTGAACGAGATGGCACAAGTTATTCATTTCACCTTTCAGCGCTTTTGCTGTTGTGGATGATCATCTAGGTGTGTGTTTTGAGGAGGCCACGGTGATCCTGAGCAGGTGTTAAAAAATGGAATAATTGTGAAAAAAAAAGAATTACACCAAAGATCAACCAATAAATAAATAATACATCCTAGTTCTTAACTGACTTAACAGACAGTTACTTGTGGGACTCTCAGTACACACAGCTGATTTTTCTTTGTGGAACAGAAAAACATATAGAGGAAAACAGATTTTTACAGTGGTAAAATAATCGGTGTGGATTGCTTTTGGAGTTAAGCCTGTACAGCTGCTTAAAGGTTACACATAACTTCAAATGACAGTATTAATCGTGCAATAGCAGAGATTTCCCACCTGTCTAACAGTAACCCTGTCAGTTGAGAAGGTGCTACTTGCTAGTTTGGAACAGATCTACTGTCCAACAATAAAATACCCCAAAAAAACTAACAATCAGTAGCCTAACCACCAGGTACAGCAGAGGCTTTCTTTCGCTGTGCCCCCAGGCTGATCCAATAAAGCATCGTGCATAATTAGATGATGGTATTAATTACTCTTTCTGCAGAAGCTCAGTCAGTGTAGTGCTGCTTGGTTGCAACCTAGAGGCAGTTTATGTCAGGTAAATAATGGGAAGCCACAGGCAACTGAAAATTGTACATTTTTAACTTTTAAAAAAGTTAATTGTCTGAGTGGCCTTGCCATTAGCGTCTAAAAATGTAGGTTAATTAAAATAGCTGTTTTCCTGTTGTAACATTTTTTTATTATAATATTTCAGATATAAGGTTCTGTTTAAAACTGCTGTGAATCTGCTGCAGCTCTGCTCTAAATATATTGTTACCAAGGTTTTCTTAAATGTGCTTCATTGAGGAAATATACTCAGTATAAAGTAAGTCGATTTATATGATTTTGTGCCTTACCACAAATCTGAAATACAAATGATTCGTCTTCAGCTTTCTTTTTATACTTAACACATATATCACTGAGCCTCTGGCACTGGAGTGAAGTTCACTCTTGATGATTACTAAGTGCTGAACACAGAGCTGTATGGGTCAAATTCTATTAATGATACTGTAATTTCCAATCATTATAAATCGTGATATGAATTGACTTATACGCTTTTTCAGTTTTCCTTGGAGACACTGTAAATTTCGGATGACTACAACATTCGAAAAAGTCACAGCTGCCTGACAAAACTGTCAGCTTCACAAATAAAGTTGCTTACTGTGAGCATTTTAGCATTCTAATTAGTATTTAGATCAAAGCAGTGCTGTGCAAATAGCCTCACAGATCTGCTACAGTGGCTTTTAGACTCTGATTTCTACAAAGATCTGGTAGCTAATTCCACACGCCACTGTGTGTGTGTGTGTGTCTGTGTGTGCTTATGTGTGTCAGCTTTAAACAAAAAGGCTTAAAGAAAGGAATTTGTTTACGTATCTCCAAGCTTATCAGAGGAATCTTGTTACCGATTAGTACGATGTACCGTGTCAGTCATAATTTGCCCAAATTTGGCTTTTCTCAGTATAGTAAAGATGGCAATATACACTCACCGGACACTTTGAAACGTGCACTTTGCTAATACTGGACTGTACTGGACCTATTTTTAGGTAGTTTTAATACACAAAATATAATAATGTACAGTTCTATCAAAACAGAGTGTCTTTCACTCTGAATACTTATTCACAACTACTATTAATATATTAATATTAATTCTTCATGGCACAGATTTAACAAGATTGTGGAAGTATTCCTCAAAGATTTTGGTTCATATTGATATGATGGCATCACACAGTTGCTGCAAATCTGTCGGCTGCACATCCGTGATGCAAGTCTCCTGCTCCAACACATCTCAAAGTTGCTCTATTGGATTCTGTTGGAGTTTTAGTGATCATGGAGGCCAATGAAATACTCAATGGTACATTCAAGAAACTAATCTGAGATGATTTGAGCAGCATTTTCCAATCTTCTGTTGCTCAATTTTAGTGAGGCTGTTTGAACTGTATCCTCAGTTTCCTGTTCTCAGCTGACAGAAGTGGCACACTATGTGGTCTTCTGCTGCTGTTGCTCTGCTCCAGTGATGGATGTGCTGTGCATTCAGAGATGCTTTTCCGCATACCTTGGTTGTAAAGAATGATAATTTGAGTTACTGTTTCCTTACGAGCTCAAAGCAGTCTAGCCGTTCTCCTCTGACCTATGAGATCAACAAGGCATCAGAGCACTGCCACTCACTGGATATTTTTATCTCTTTCAGACCATTTTCTGTAAACCCCAGAGATGGTTTTGTGGGAAAAACCCAGTATGAGCAGTTTGTGAAATACTCCGACCAGCCTATCTGGCACCAACAATCATACCACAGTCACAGTCGCATAAATCACCTTCTTCTCAATTCTGATGCTCGGTTTGAACTTGTTAACTATGTCTACATATCTAAACACAATATGTTGCTATTATGTGATTGTCTGGTTTAATATTTGCATTAAGCAGCAGTTGAACAGGTGTATCTAACAAAATGTCCAGTGAGTGAAGACCCAAGACGATTCTTTGGTTTGTTCCTTTGGAATCATGAGAAACAGAATTCTTTATTAATCCCAGGAAATTATGTGGTCACAGTTGCCCTATGA